CGAATTTCGAGGAAATCGCCCACACCTGAATCTGTAGAATACAAGTAACACGCGCTTTCAGGGTTGCTAGAATAATAATTTTTTAATCTCTATTTAGTGATGATATAAAGACAGGGTTGCCATATTTCATATACTTGTCTAGGGTTGCCAAATTACTTCTATCTAGGGCTGCAGTTCTACTACATTATCTAAGGTTGCCAAATAACTTATATACAGTGTCGGACAAAACTAAAGCACGAGATTTGCGATGTCGTCATTTCGCTACATAAAATTTGTAAACCGTTTGTAAATTAAATATTTCCATTTTATTTTAAAAGAATATACATTTTTGTTTGCGTGTTAAAAAAACCAAACATATTACTTCATTTTACAACTAAATATGACTGAAAGAATGACAATATGCATGAAATAGGTGCGACATAACTAAAGCACATCACAGGTGTTTAAAAATAAAAAGTATTTGTTGTTAATATTTGGTGGCATAGCCATTGTTTTTTATGACGGCTTCACACCTTCGAGGCATAGATTCAACCAATTTATTTTAAACGTCCTCAGAAATGCCCTTTCATGAGAGTTCAACTTGGGAAAAGAGAGAGTCCTTGTTGCAATTTTCGCGCTTGATTTTCCGATCTACAATTTCCCATAGATTTTCTATGGGGTTGAGATCGGGAGATTGCTCGGGCCACTTCAAAACTTCAATTTTATTGGCAGCAAACCACTCTTTCACACATTTAGCCGTGTGTTTCGGATCATTATCGTGTTGATAGATCCACTTTAACGGCATTTCCTCTTCAGCGTGGGGCAACATAATCGTCTGAAGGATGTCTTTATACATAAAACGATCCATTATGCCATTAATTCGATGGATCGGACCTACTCCATGACCTGAAAAACATCCCCAGACCATTACGTTGCCTCCTCCATGTTTCACAGAGCCTTGCGAATAACGTGGATTTAGGCGTTGACCTTTTGGCCTCCGTACCAGCTTCAATCCATCAGAACCTTTGATGTTAAACTTTGACTCATCAGAAAAAAGTACACTTCGCCATTTTGTAATGCTCCAGTTAATATGAGTTCTTGCAAATTCAAGCCGCGCTTGTCGATTTTTATTGGAAATGTATGGTTTCCTTGCACTTCTGCATGTTATCAAGCCACTTTCAACAGTACGTTGCTGAATGGATCTAAGGGAAATATTGAAGCCTAATTCGCTTTGGATTGATCTGGCTGATATAAAAGGATCCTTTTGTATAGTGCGAACTATTGCTTTATCCTCGCGGGACGTGGTTTTACGTGGCCTGCCACCTCCATGTATTGTAATAAGGGAGCCGGAAGAACGAAAACGACTAATAGTTCTTGACACAACGCTGTGATTAATGCTAAATTTTTTTGAAATATTAGTTACTGATTCACCATTATTAAATTCACTTATAATTTTTTCTCTAAATACTGCCGAATATTTATTGCGCGCTATTTCATTAACCTGTTTTAGCAATGTTCACAACTGACTAAGCAATACGGTTTAAAATTACTGCAAATGCTCTCTTTTTATGTATTGAATAACGGTTTCCTACTATAGTGGAAATTTCAACATTACTCGTTGAAAACATGTTCAAGGAGTTAGGAAATATAATCACGTGCTTTAGTTTTGTCGCAGTAGCTCCACATATTATGCCAAGTTCTTGTACACTAGAGTCTTATGAGCAATAAAATGAGGTTAATTTTGTTGAAATTTTATTTTAAACATATAATTCTGCTGAATTCATAAAAAATTTAAAAGTTATGAAAGACTTTCCAAACTTTTTTTTAACGGAACGCCTCTAGGTATACTTTGTGCTTTAGTTTTGGCCGACACTGTATAAGGCTGCGGTTCTACTACAAATCTACAAATAATATAGTGCGACAATGTAAAATTATAAAATTAGGTAAATGTTCGCTATATAAAAACCACTTGCACATGCAGTTAACATGAAAATAACAAAACGAGGGAAATTTTAAAATATCTCGAATACCGTTCCATTTTCACAATGTGAGATCGCCATATTTGGATTCAGCGGACAATTTTACATAAGATTGGTGTACCGAACGCCGTGGTTATGAGAATTTTCGAAAATTTGTAAGATAATAAAACAGAAAAATAAGGCCAATTTTGGCTATACAAAAACCACTTGCTCATGGCGTAAACATAAAAGTAACAAAACGAGCGGTACAGCCGCTTGAAGTTAGAGATGCAAACCAAAGATTTCGTAAGTTTCATATTTATATCTAACAGGCAACACATTCATTTCGTAACCTGAATATTGGGAATTTTAAAAATTTCGGAACCTCAAGCAAAGTTTTTTTTTTATATAAGGAGTGAGCTGGTCGGGTCGAGACGTAGCTGTGTAACATAAGCTGCTTGCTCTAAACAGTCAAAACGCCTAGGGTCGATTAAAGTTTATAAAAAATAAGTAAAAATACGTGATTTTAAGACGCTGCCATATTCGGAAGTATTGACTTATACGATTTTCTTTGCTTGCATTAAAACTGTCATCTTTTCCCTTCGAAACGGCGTCTCGAGTGGCAGATATCTTAAAAAGGAAACATTTTAGAGATAAATTAATTTTTTAATGCATAAAAATCGCAATTTTTTTAACTCTTGATTCCGACAGGCGGAAACGAGCGTTTCTAAGAATTTAATTTTGCGTAAATACTGTTCTTTGGGACCCCAAAGAAGAGTCCCTTAAAGTTACAGCAAGATCTAAAATGGTCCCGCGACTTCAGTACTATCTATATACTAGTTTTACGCAGGGAACGGATTTTATGGAAATTTCTTTTTTTCTGCTACAGAGATAGAGTATATTCGATTAAGAATGTCCGCGATTTAGCTTTCCCTTATTCGATATATACACACTTGATGTTGCCTTCTTTAAGGTATTTGCTTATATTTGCCTTTTCTACCTTTAATTGGAAAGGGCAAGGAAAAGCCATAATTCCTGATAATATGAAAGTTCTAAACGTTCCATATTTAAATTGGGTGCCACATGTATCAACTTATGTCGACCGCACGTTTAGTACATCCAAGGCTGTTTGCGAAAATCGAAAGAAATGCTGCCAGAAAACTTCAAAATTCATCTTGTGGTTCAATGTAACTACAATTATAGATATTAAAGTTTTTTGAGATAGAAACTCGAAAGAAGAAAATACATAGTCAAAGATTTAAAGTACAAATGAAACTACATAATTCATAGTTTTTCTTTTTTACTTGTAAAATAAACATTTTTAAATAAATGTTTTTTGATCATTTTTCGGTTTTTGTATTTTTTAGTGCCTTTTGCCTTTTTTGCGATTTCTGGTGTTTTATTGTCTATATCGCTATTTTATTTTGCCTTTTCTAGCGTATTTCGTTATTTTTTTTGCCTGTTTTTTTAGGTTTTTAGGTCTTAAAAATCCGTTCCCTGGTTATAAATATATAATCTTATAATCATATTTCTTTTTAAGAGATTCTTGTGGGATCAACTTTGAGTAGATTAGCGTCCTTAAATTTCGGAATATCGAAGTTTCTGCATTTCTGAAATTTAGCGTTATATAAAAAGTGGGCGTAATTTTAGTCCAATTTTACAAATTTTCAACGTCTTGCCTTTGTGTATCAAGTACAATAATTGTAACGAGTGCAAATATCAGTTTTCAAATAAATTGGTTTCAGTGTTTACTGGTTTATAGAAGGTTTTGTATTTCTCTAAATTATCGTTGTATGGGATGTGGGCGTGGTTATTGTCCCATTTTAACAATTTTTTGCCGTTTGGTATGTTTTAACAGTTTACCGGGCCATACATATGTACTTACATTTCGTAAGTGGGCGGGGCTACGCCCATTTTCCAAAAATTTATAATATACTTATTTTCCGCAGAAATATCATTGCAAATATCAATTTTGAGTAAATAAGCTTCAGTAGTTACTAAAATATCCCAGTTTTCATACTTCTGAAAACTGTCGTTATATGGGAGGTAGGCGGCTTTATAGTCCGAATTTCGCGAATTTTCAATACCATCCGTCCTACGTTCAAGAAGTACATGTACCAAGTTTCGTTAAGATATCTAAATTTTTACTGGAGTTATCGACGGGATACGGACGGACGGAGAGACAGTCACGGCTAAATCGATTTCTTTTTTCATTCTGAGCATTTATGTATACATTTGTCTATAGGTTCATTCCTTATCTTTTTGGACTAAAATCTGAAAAGTGTCAAAATGTCAGAGCGTAAGCAAAATGCGCTCACTAAAAGAGAATAACAGGAAAAGTAAAGGAACGCAAAAAACCAAATTTTTAGTCCAAAGAATGGCAACAACAAAGCTAACGTCAAATAAGAATGTAAATGTATGTACAAAACACCTGCACACAAGCACAAGCACAATAAACACTTTCTATATCAATTATTTTTCGCCTCCTTCCAATTTCAATTCACTTTTTTACTTTTTAGATTATTCTCACTTTTTGCGTATTCTTTAATTTCCGTTAATTTAAGTTCAGTCGAGTTTGACACTTTTCAGGATTTTGCCAGAAAAAATTCTTCTGGCTAAATCTGACTACTTCGGACTGATGAGAGTCACTCTCACCGAGTGTTGCTCTCTCATTTTTGCTGTCATTTCCGAGTTAAGGAACGCTTTTTGGACTAAATCTGACTACTTCGGACTTTTTCAGACTATTTCTGGGAGATAAGAACGCTCCTTATATCTATCTCGATTCGTTTTGTCTGTTACAATCAACAAAAGTCTAACCCGAACAGATTTGCTAAAAACTTTGTATAACAGTTATAGCGAGTGATTTATTTTTTACAACAAAAAATAAATTACTTTTGATGGCACATTGATAAATGGCCGATTATTTTCGGTCTCTGCTGAACACCTATAAAGTTCAGAAAGTTTAATTTTTTAAATTGAATCATTGGTTACCTACTGTGTGATATTTGTTTTTCAATGCACTAATTTCTAATGACGCACTCCTTATTACAATTACAATTGCAGTTTTAAGAGATGCACAAGAAAGTGAAGAAGCTAACACCAGAGATAACAGTAACCTTGGTCAAGAAGAGGACATTTTAGATTCTGCTCGACATGATGAGGTTATTCAGGATGATGAAAGCGATAACGATTTTCCGTTTAACGATCCAGAAACAGAATCCGACTCTGATGACAACCAAAGTAATCAAGATGCGCAACGAAGCGTACAAACTGGCGCTACCGTTGGTTCCGAGACAGGTGAATTTTTTACCATTAAAAACAAAAACACATACATATAAATACATATACGGAATATGGATTCACAGTTTTGTTTTTTTTTTGGGATTTGCTTATTTTGCATTCTTCATAAAAAAAGGTTAAAGGCAAATTTGTGGAGAATTTAATTTCCCAAATTTTTTATATTAAAGGTTTTCAAAAAACATTTTTTATTGTAAATAATTAGCAACAATTCCACTACTTTTTTACGATCGGGAACGCGTTAAACATAGCGATGTAAGGGAAGCGGCGTAAAATTAATTTCCTCCCCACGGCTAAGTTGAGCTTTTCGGCGCTTGCTTTTTACGTGGTTTTCAGGAAACTGATTGTTGAAAAATAGCGAAACGCGTGACATGTACATGCACAAATTGTTTATTTTAATTGTTTATGGGACGTTCCACGTCAACAGGAACCGTACGATGGCGAAAATTCTGTGGGGCGGATTAAAAAGATTAAGATCTTGAAACGATCGCATAGATCTCCATTGATAACAGATAAATTAGAATTTGCTTTACAACTTTTATGCCACCGGACACTAAAAAATAAAAAGGAACAGCAGATTCTTACTAACATATAACTCATACGCCAGCTACCTACGCTCGATTTCAACTTTTTCCGTGATAAATCGTAGATCCAATAGAATTTTTAAAATCTAATCAGAAATCTTAAGAACCCTTAATTTTAAAGTTTAAAGGGCCATATTGGAGTCGCCATTTTGAATTTTTCCAACCTGACTCCAGATTCGTCATTAGCGGCACCAAGCACCCCATAGGAAAACATTTCAACCGGATCGAGCCGATTTTAATTTTTTTGGCGCCATATTGGATTCGCCATTGTGAATTTTAAAATTAAGCTCTAAGTTCGTAATCGCAACGCTGTTGCTTTTTATTTTCTAGTGTTTGGTTCTCCACTGCCGCAAAATTTATACAACAAATTCTAATTTACGGTTAATTTAGACGCCATATTTGAGACGTCATGTTGAATTTTTCAAAATATCACACTGGTTTCAATGGCGACATCTATGTGATAGTTTTAGAACCTTTATATTTGCAATCCTAAGGTGACCAGAATTTTTTAACATTCAAGGAGGACAAATTCTCCACATTGAAAACACAAAAAATATTTACATTTATTTTAACTAGGGCTGTGCGATTAATTGATTACTCAAAATTTTAATTAATCATAAAGTAAATAACTCAGTTATTCGATTAATTAGAAATTATGATTACTCAAAAGTTCAGTTACTCGAGTAATCAAGATTTTTGATTAACCAAAAAAAAAATATTTGAGTAATTTGCTTTATGATTAATCAACATTTCGAGTAAAATGAGTAATCAACATTTCAACTCTTTACATATGTATAAAGTAGTTAAAGTTCCTTGATACTTTGAAAACAACGTTTCTGTTTTCAAAAATTAAAACGATTTTTTTTTTTCATATTCAGAATGTAAAAAAGAAAATCAGCATTTTCCAAAGCAATCTCTTTTAACGAGCAAAATTATTTTTTGAGTAATCATATTTCAAGTAACTCGATTAATCATCGTTTTGAGTAATCAAAATCTTGATTACTCGAGTAATTGATTAACCGAATAATTGATTAACCAACTTGCTCGAGTAATCGAATAATCGCACAGCCCTAATTTTAACACATAAATAACGAATAAATTAACAATTCAAAGTTTCTTTAAAGACAAGTCAAGCAAGTTTAAGTACACTGCGTTCATAATTATAATACCGCCACATATTAACAAGTTTTGACTAATTATTTTTAACCGACTTCAAAAAGAAGAAGGTTATCAAATCGTCGGAATATATATTTTTTTATGTATGTTACCGCATAACTTTCGACCACGTCCACCGGTTGCGATAATTATTTTTTTTATCGGAAAGGTGGTGTCCCACAGGTAGTTTCATACTAATTTGGTTTAGATCGGTTGTGTTTTTTGCTAAAAAATTACCTGTTCAATTATTTAATTGTAATTGTATTACTTGCAAAAGAAATTGCTTTTGTTCTTCGTTTTTCGTCAAAGTTCGTTTATAATTTTGTATCAACGCTATACCTCGTTCAACAATATCATTAACATATTTAATACTTTTAATTGTCTCTAAGACAACCAACTTCAGGGTCAACTTTTATCCCTTTTTAAAACTTTTTTCAACGATTCAAAAGTTATGACATTTTCATGAAAAATATTTTTGTGCATGTTGTTTAAAATTGGAATACAAATTTTTCCAAATGGGAGAATTTCATTCCCAGTAAATAGCCATTTTAAGGCCATAAATTCGCCAGGTTAGTTATTTTGGATCGCCCTAATATATAATAATAATAGATTGGCTATTACACATATTTTAATGTTTGGCCGAGCTTCTCCTCCGATTTGTGGCGTGCGCCTTGATGTTGTCACACAAAGGGGAGGGACCTACAGTTTTACGCCTACTCTGAGCGGCGATTGTATTTTTATTAGAAGCTGTTTGTCATGGCAGAAATACACTCGGAGGGTTGCCATTGCGTACCGAAGGGCGACAGCTGTTAGGAAAAAACGTTTTTTCTAAATTTTTTTGTGATGTTTCTTTGACCAGGGCTTGAACCCAGGCCCGCGGAGTGGAAGCGTGCACTGCTTACCACTGCACCTTTGTTTTTTTCTTCCGAATTTTTTAGATCCGCCACCGTGTTTTACCGATTTCACAGTGTACCTGGGGTTTAAGGCCATGCTTGTAGAACACCTCATATACGTTTTTCCATCGGATTGGAATAAGTTAAACTTCGATTCGTCACTCCACAGAACTCTATTCCAGTATCGTGGATGTTTATTAAGCATTTCCTTTGCAAACCGCAAATGCCTTTTAATATTTTTTTTTGATACATGCGGTTTTTCAGTGCAATGCACCAGTTTCCACTCATGTAAGTGTCTTCTTATCGTCCGAGCGGAGATTTCTGCATTAATTTGATGTCCATATTCAGCCTTTATTTCATGCGAAGACATGAATGGGTTGTTCTTGCTGGCCCTACAAATAAGCCTATCTTCTGGTGGAGTAGTTTTTTGAGGCCTGGGCTTCCTCGTAGGGGTTTCAAACGTCTTTGTTTTATTATATAAATGAATTGCTCCAAATACCATTTTTTTTTGTGGAGCAAGCAAACCTTTGCGCGATAGCCGACATTGAGTTTTTCTTTTTGATAACAATTCACAATTAACTCCCTCATTTTTGGAGTGCATGACTTTTTTTTACCCATTCTAACAACTAAAATGTATCAAAATTATTTATATTTATTATATATTATTAAATATTCGACGATTTTCCAATAAATTGTCCAAACTTATGTTAACGCCAGTTGTAGACAATTTCAATAAAGCTTCCAAATTGTCAAATATTAAGCAACTGTTTGGTATTGTCGTATGATTTCTGCTAGTCTGTCTTCCCACCTTATTCGCACACCTTCAACATCACACACTGGAAGTTGTCTGACAGCATTCTTGTGAGAGGACCAGCACTTGCAGTTTGTGTTTTGACAGCATCAAGCTGAAATCAATACTTTTGTAGTTTGCGATTATATCGAATAAAGTTGAATTAAGTTAAGTTGAAACATTAATTGTATAAATCTGACGGATTTATTACAAATGTTCGTTGGTTATTCTATTTCTGTGATTATTTTTTATTAACTTCATTTTGGAAAATCGACGTTCACAAATATATGTGCTTCCAAACATAGAAAACAAACATACACTTTTTTTGTAACAGAAGGTATATTTATTTGAGTTTACAGATTTCCAAAATTCGATGCCGTTTAAATTAGATATTTTCAGCCCTGTTCTACAATCCGAGTCGGAATCGCATCGGAATCGGAATTCAATTCCAACACGGAGTTTATGTGGTGTTCCGCAATCCGATCGGAACTTTTGTTTCGAAGTTAATATCGAATCCTGATTGTAGAAAAACGGGGACAAACCTCCTACTTGTCAATTGCGTTCTGAAGTGTCAAAATTCATATGAAGAAATTAAAAAGTGAAAACTAAACTGAGTTCAATGGTTTTATTAGCTGTTTTGCTCAATAATGAGCAGCAAACCAATGAAAAAGTGAGGCAAACAATTTTGCGCGATCGCAGCAATCCCATATAATTACCGGACTCTGCGTAAGTAGTATGCAAACAACTGTTTTCTCTTTTGCTATTTCAAAGTATAATTTTGTATTTTACAGCTCTCTTGCACTCCTAGAGATTTTAGGTGACTTGCAGCCTTATGTACGCGAAGGAGCACCGTACCATTGTCGAAGTTACCGACACAATGTTGTGTGCATGGAGTCAGTGATGTAGGCATATATGTAATACTTCTATATTGGCAGTACGTTGAAAGTACATCCGCCAACATTAGAGTGCAGATTAGACCGTTCGTTATTTCAACTTCTTTTTTAAATATTCAGTTTGCCGGGCGGCAAAAGATGTCTTTTGGTCTAAAAATAAGCTGTGCAAAATTTTATTCGAATATGATAACTCTAAGTACTTGCGCGTTGCATTTGAAAATTTAGAAAACCATATGCATTCTGGGAAAAAATTTTTTAACAAAATAGTTGAAAGTCGTGAATTTTATAGTCATTTGTTATGTAAAATAACTCACACAATCTGAATATGAGGTTGAAAATTAAACAAGTAGAATAGGTTTTAAGAATTTGCGAAATTATCGTTTTTTTTCAAATTGAGGAAACAGCATTTTCATTTTTTTCCAAAAATATCCGGTTGTGATTATCACACCGCGAAGAGATCTCCACCAGATGAAAGGTCTTTGAAATCCCTACGAACCTGCTATACAATGTTTTGCAATCAAATTATCAGTTTAAGAGTTATCTGCCAATTTATTAGTGAAATCGGACACAATTTTAACTCGCATCGTTATTCTACTGTGAATTACACCTAAAAGCTGCAAACTTTTTTTCTCATTATTATGCTATGTTAAAGCTTATTTAATTTCAAAGTATACAGATCCAAATT